CCTAATACTTGTTTAGGTTATCCTTATTCTTGAGATCCTTTTGATATGTGATGCATGTTCACACTTCACCTAATGCTTGTCTATGTACCTTACCTTAGGAAATTTCTTAACATGTCTTGATATGTGATGCATGTTTACTCCTTACCTAATGCATGTTTAGGGATTTTTGTTTGAGTTTCTTGGATCATGGGTTGTTGATGCATGTCTTGATTCTTTGATGTTTTGATGCTTTGACTTGAAAGTGTTGTGACCTTAGGGTCTTATTTTTTCCTATTACATGTTTAGGTACATTTCTTGAGCTTGTTTTGATCGCATGACATATATTGCTTGTTTAGATGATATATGTGTTATCTAATGCTTGTTTAGGTAATCTCTTAAATATTCTCTTGCTATGATTACTTTTTGATGCTTGTTCACATGTTTTACCTAATGCATGTTTAGGTACTTCCTCTTAGGTACTTCTCTTACCATGTATGTTATGTGATTCATATTCCCTCTTTACCTAATTATTGTTTATTTGTTTTCTTCTATTCTCTTGAGATGTGTTTGCTTATTGTGATTCATTTTTACATGTTTTCCTAATACTTGTTTAGTTTGATTGATTTTGTTTCTTTTCCATGACATACTTGCTATGTGTTATCTAATACATGTTTAAATACTCTTTATGTTTGAAACACTTGCTTTTTCGGTTTACCTATTACATGTTTAGGTACATATTCTTGAGTTCTTTTCACATATCACTTGTTCGTGTGATTGATTAACTCATTTAGGTACCTTTCATATAGTCTCGTTTCTTGTTAGACTTAGGTGATTGTTGTCTTGATGCTTTGTTAAGTGTTTGAGACTTGCTTAGGTGTTACTTGTATGCTTGTTTTCTTTGTGTGATGCCATGCTTATAAACTTGATGAAGTTTTTGTAGGATTGAATTTCTTGAAGCATGATAGGATGTTCACCTTAATACTCAACTCTTGTTTCATTTTCTCTTTGACTTGAAAGATGATGACATACTTATTTCCATGAGCTTACTTGTAGCCAATCCTTGAAATCTTTGACATGTTTTGTGATACTTGTTCACATATTTTAATTCATATTCATTACTTTTTGATAGTTGTTCATATCTTTGTGATGCTTGTTCACACCTTTTGATACATGTTCAAACACTTTGATACATGTTCAATTATTTTTTATGTTTGTTCAATTCTTATGATACTTGTTCAAAATTTGATACTCGTTCAAACCTTGTGATACTTGTTCACTTTATTTTTGAAAACTTGTTAATTTCTTTTTGATGCATGTTCCATCCCTTGGATACTTGTTCAATAATGCATGTTCACATGTTAATTGAAATTTGCTTGTTCTTGAACCTTGCATGTTGGGAATTATTAGTTTTGTTGTGTCTAATACATGTTTATATTCACAACTTGAACTTGTTTGATTCATTTCTCTTCATGAGAGAACCATTTGATTTATGAATGCATGTGTTGATGTCTTGATTCTTTTCCTTGAAGTTTTCTTGACCTTGGGGTCTTATTCTTATCTAATTCAATTTTAGGTCTTTATTATTTTACATGTTTTTCATGATAACATGTTTACCCTAATTCAAGTTTAGGATCTCTTAGTTACATGTTTACTGATTACATGTATGCTTCACCTAATTCAAGTTTAGGTCCTTACTTTGATATCATGATCACATGTTTTCTTGATAACATGTTACCTTACTTATTGGTGTGATATCTTATATGCATTTTTGTCTTGATAACTTGTTACCTCACTTGTTGGTTTGATATCTCTTATACATGTTTGTCATGATAACATGTTCATCTATTGCTTGTTTAGATGTTTGTTTGGTACATCTTATACATGTTTGTCATGATAACATGTTCATCTATTGCTTGTTTAGATGTTTGTTTGATATCTCTTATGCATGTTTATCATGATAACATGTTTATCCTATTGGTTGTTTAGGATTATTCTATATCTATTACATGTTTGTCTTGATAACATGTCTATCCTATTGCTTATTAAGGATTGTTTTACATCTCATACATGTTTGTCTTGATAACATTGAAGGTTGAGAAAAACACAAGAAAGGGGGGGGGGGGGTTAATTAGGGTTTTCAAAACTATTTCTTTTGCAAATGCTTCTCACAAACAAACAATGATAACTAAGCAGGAAATAAAAGTGACACGTTTGGTTTATACAAGTTCACCTTAGAAAAGGCTACTCTTGTCCACCCGCCAATGTGATTTTGCCTTAGAAAAGGACATAATACAATAATCTAGAAATATTACAACAACTTCTGAGAGTTTAGAAAAACACCTTATCCCTCTCAAGTAATTCTACTACAACTTACTCACTTGAGGAAATAAATCTAGAAAGATTTACAATCAAACAGTATTTACAAGAATGCTTCTAAAAGTAGATTTAATACCACAATGAAGAACAAATGTTTACACACAAATATGAGCAACAACTCTTATGCATACAACAATGATAGAACTAACACAATAATGAGTAACAACTCCTGTGTTCTAGAGAATATAAGTTAACACAAATCTGAGAAACAACTCTTTGTGTTTTTCTTTTGGATATTTTCTCACTTTTTTTTTCTTATGCTTTTAATTCTTTTCTTTGAGTAGTTTATTTGTTCTTCGTTCAATTTATTCAAAATTGTTAGTCTCCAAAGAAGTAGCAATCCCTTTATATAGGTTGAGAAATGAAGACTGTTGGAAAATGTCACTTTCACCAAGTCGCCTACTACAACGATAGTTTATGAACATGGGAAACAAAGAGAACACAAAAACTTTCTTCATACATAACATTCATCATAAATATTGAAAAAGGTGTTATGCAATTGTACTCTTTACTTCTTGCATAAGCTTCTGATTTTTTTTCTTTTTGAGATACTTCTGATCTGAAGTAGTAAGAGAGCGCAGAAGAGATCATGTCTTTTTTCTTCAATCTTCTGATGGAATGATTCTGATATGAAGAGATGAATATTCTAGAATATATTTCTTTGTTGTGTTTCTAAAGGTATCAGAGTCTTCAGAAACAGATTCTACTCTTTAGATATGTAGCAGTAGCTTATCTGACAAATAGTTTCTTGATATCTGAGCGTTGAAGCAAAAGCTTTATTTGAGAAGCACTTTATCTTATTTTCTGATTGTTGAAGCAAAAGATTGATATATGAATCTTCGAAGCATAAGCTTGATATCTGATCATTGAAGCAGAAGCTTGATATCTGATCTTAACTGTAGATTCTTTTTTGGATACACTAGACTTTTGAAGCAACAACTTATCTGGAGAAGTACACGTGGTTCCATTTCTGGTGAACATTAAACATTCATCATAACTATTGATGTTCCTTCAGAACTTAAAATGATAGTCTTTCTGATGTGAGTTAAACATATTTCTGATGATTCTTCAGATAAGAATCCTGAATCAATTTAAATGTTTTATCTGCACACTTAAAAAACTATTAGATACCAAAATTATTACACATAAAGTATATGTATTGTTATCATCAAAACCCATAGATTATATGCAGAACCAAATCTTGTTCTCATAATATCCCCCTTATTGATGATGACAAAACCAAGTATTTTGATAAAATAATTTTACAAGGTAATATCAATCAAAGTATTAGAGTAAGTTTATAGAATCTCCCCTTGAGATAAACAATCTCCCCCTGAGATTAACAATCTCACCCTGAGTTAAAGACTTAACAATCTTTAGAAATAAAAGGGCTTTCTGAGCATTGTTATCTTTCTTATCGCCTGATTAAAGATCAAGATCCTCTTTATCACTTATCAGAGCGTGACTTTATCAGAAAAATCTTCTAAAAAGAGCTTGTTTTCTCCGAACCTTATAAACGATAGAAGTTCTATATCTTATCTGATTGATTTGAATCCTTGAGACATTAGAAGTTCTTTATCAGAACCTTCTAAGAGATAGATTCATTTGCTTATTAGCTTGTTCCTGAAACAACATTCTCAAAGTAATCTTGCATGTGTGTGTGTTGTTAGAATGTGAGAAATGGGATTATTGAGAATTAGATATATCAAAATCATCACTATGTTTCTCCCCCTTTTTGTCATAATCAAAAAGATATTAAAAATTCAATAGTGAGAAAAAAATATATAATTAGCACATTTACCTAATAAATAAGAAAAAAACGATTATGAAATATTTTGAAATGATTGAAAAAGAAGAACTTCATAGAAGGAACAAACAAAGTACATAAACAAGTATGGTCAGAGGAAAATACATAAAACATTAAAATAAATTTAAGAAGAAAATGAACAAGAACAACTAAAATATGTGCATCCATCTTCTTTCTTTGATATGTGCATCCCCTTGATGATGCTTTTCGTGTCTTCACTAACAGCTCCACCTGAATATGGCATCCATCTTATTTCCTTATACTTCTTCCCATTTGACAACATCAAAAGGAGAAAAAGCACACGATGAGAGGTATCAACATTCACAAAAATATGGATATATCACATAGAGGCGTTTTGCAAAAGTAAGAGCGCAAACATACATGTTCTCATACACAAGATGTCACACAAAACTAATAATTAAATAATAGGCTAGACGAAACAAAAACAATGTGATAACCTCATATTGATATTAATGGTTTAAATTAAGACAAGATAGATAAGAAATAACATACGTATTTAAACTACATATTATTTTAATAGATAAGCAAACATGAAATGAACTAATTTTTTATATGTGATATGCAAGATGATAACAAAGAAAAATGCATGAACAAAAGCTAGACAAACTCCAAGGTAAGTGATACTTGAAGCTTTCATCATTAGCGGAACCTAAATTTGTCCTGACGATATGATCTTTCACCATTTCCCATTCGGTTATGCATGTGGTTGTAGAATTTCACGCTTTCTTCATGATTAGAGGAGCCAAGAGTCATAATTTCTCAATTTATTGTCCACATTTGTGAAGAAGGTGGACATGCTTTACTGAATTTAAGTCATTTATGCATTAACAGATGACTCGAAGAGATCAATGTTAGCATCTTGTGATGCTATATGCTCCTGAACTTGTTTGTATCTTGCATCTTCAATAGCTTGAACATTTTCTCTCCAAATCACTTCTTCTTCATACCTTTTATCTTGCTTGGCATCCATGTTTGAAGTTAGGTTATCAAACTTGACTCATTGTTTAGTGCATTCTAAAAGTTACCTTGTGAACTAGATCCATGTTCGTGATACCTACCATCACTTTGTTGTGTCCACCTTTCTTGATTATCAGTGGCCCTCATCCATGCATTATCTTCTGCATAGTCCCCATCAGCCATATTAATGTCTTCTTCGTTGTTTCCACCAATGTGTTGCTCCTCCATCTCATGAGCATCCACATTATCTTCAACAGCCGTTGGATCGTCAAAGTTGAAAATTTTCTTGTTGCCTATACAGAGATAATAAGCATTCTCTTTGATATCCCAATTATACCGCATGTGTCTTAGAGAACTTAGATCGAACTGTTGAGTAAGTCTCGAAGTGGTTAGAGGCAAGTTTTAATATTGAATGAGTTAAGGATTTTTGCAATCATGAATGGATAGAAAAAATATTTTCCTTTGTTCCCATTCCTAATAGAGAATAGACAAGAGACAAAGTAATTTGGCCAACTTATCTTAATTTTGTGAAGTAGCACATAGACAAGGTGTACCTCCATTTGTTCCACTCTAGAATTCCCTCTGTTCTTAGGACATAGGAAATGAGAAACAATTCAATGGAAGATTAGAGGGAGTTGTTTCATTTGACCAGTTGTTATTTCTTCACTGTTGCCTTCATATCACAGAACCTTCAGCATTTCATTTGAATGCTCCCTTCAATGGAAAAGGTCATGAACATTGTCATCCGATATATTTGGCAGTGAAACATCATCATCAATTATAGATATTCCAAGATGTGATTTCCACATATCACTTGTGAATTTGAAATCCTTACCTCCCATTATAAATATGCACTCACTTCCTTTGCGTTTGTGTAATCCTGCATGGAAGACCCAAATGAGATCTTCACTGTAGTCTTGTGACAATTGCAAGAAGTAATTGATTTTTTGATGTTCCATACAATCAACCATATAAAGAATGTTGAGTTCATCAACCCCAGATAGATTGTAGACGTGTTTTTTTATAACTCCCCTATTTTTTCACTTTTCTTCAAAGAATTTTCGAACCTCGTCATCAATCAAATCAAATGCATTTTCAGGTTCATTGGTAACTTGAGGAACCTTACCTTTACCCTTGGTGACCCCTTTCTTTCTTATCATTTTTGGAGGCATGGTCAAGTGAAGAACAAAGCTTGCACGTAAGGTGTTTGGTGAAAGTTCTGAGAGAGACAGCTTGTTATATGAATGGATTTTGGTTACCCACAAACCCAATTGCTAGTATGTAATGCAATTTTTTATGATAATGATAATGAACCCTCGATAGACTGAGATGTGTAATATTTATGACATGGATATGCGTGAAAAATAATTTGTTGGTAAATAAGATGCTAAAAGGTTTTAAGATGGGATGTGGTAGGACTTTTAATGTGTGGGTTGAACAAGTTTTGATTCAATCTACACTCTTATGAAATAAAGACATTTATGCAAAAGGAATACTCAAAGAAGAAAAGGGAAGACAAAGAGGAAAACAAAGAAGAAAACAAATAGAAATGATTCTATATATTCAGGCAAATGCCTTTCCAGGAATTAAGTGTCGACACATGCGTCCTATGTGTCAGCACATACTAAACTAAAAGAAGAATTATTATGAAATATTGACACATGTGTCCACATATATGACACATGTGTCGACTCATACTTAACAAAAAATGGCTTATTCGAAATAATGATTTATGCGTCGACCTAAACATATCATGAAATGCAGTGAAAAATATTTTTGATGGTTTTGAAGAGACACAACTTGATTTATGCATGAATGAGTATGAAACGCAGTGAAAAAAATTTATGTTTCATGGTTTCACATAGATAAAAAAAATACATAGATAACACACAAAGAATTCAACAATATACATGTGATGAATTTTTGCTTGAGGTCACTATAAACATGTAAATTGAGAAGCACATAGTTTGACAATTTGAAATTTTTGGAAACGAACACTCATATCATATATCATTTATCAAGTATATCACATACCTTTGATTAATAAAGGAATAAAAGAAAGAACTTACACACAAGTTGAAAATAGAAACAATACAACCTCACAGTTCAACAAGACGGAGAATGCACCATGCATTTCATGAGGAACCTTCGAATGAAGGTTAAAACAAATGCAATGAGGTGTCATAAGCTCTTTTAAACATCAACGCTTTCACCACTTTTCTCTTTGTTAAAGATCATGATTCTTTTATTCACACTTATAATAACTTGTTGACATTTTCATGACAACAACATTCTTTTCCATTTTACACCAAGTCAACATGATTTTGAGTGTTGTCATCTATCATGTGTCTTGAGCTTCTATAAAGAGATCCCATACTCTCTTTGTAGGCCAAGACATATTTCCTGCACAATCAACGAGATGAACTAGGTACCCAATTTTCATTGGGTCCTTGAGGGTAAGTAACCCCATGGTTGTGTTTTGGTAACCATTGATAAATGCCCTTACGAACTAGAAATTTCCTAAGTTTTCACTTAGCCATGGTATGACCTTTTACACAACAGTAGTGACAAGTCAAATTAGGATGAGGTGAACTATTTTCCTTTAATACTATATCAACAAATTCATACCTCCTATAAGGATTATTAGTAGGTAATTTGTGTTTCTAAGTATCAATGGAAAAGATTATATTTGGTTTTAGAGCCTTGTCAAGTTTGACCTTTAGAGATTTAACCTCTTTTTGCCAAATAGGAAAAGTATCACAACCAAAGTAGTTAAACCAAAAGAGTTATTCATCTTTATCTTTTTATTTTTGAATATCTATCATAGAATTCTTTAGAGCTTCCATTTTATTTTTGATATCATCTACCTTAGCTTCCAAATAAGAAATAATCTTTTTGTTTGAAGCAAACTTTTTGAAAGATTCTATAGCTTCTTTGTGTAGATTTTCAAAGGAATTCAATAAATCGGAATGAGAGAAATTATTATTAGGAACATGTTTAGAAGGACTTATAACCTTTTTCTTTTCTTCAAGGTAATGAGTGGAAAGACACACTTCATTGCGCTTTGAAGGGTTAGATTTATTTTGCTTCTTTTCATGATAATGGGGAGAGAGACAAACTTCGTCATACTTGGATGGTTTGACCTCTTTGCACTTCTTTTCATTGTACCAAGACGATAGAAAAACAATTGTCATTTCTTCATTATCACTAGATTCTTCATCACTTGAGGATTCATAATCACTACCCAAGCCACATAAGTTCTCCTAGGCTTTCTAGAATTTGTATTTTTGCCTTTCTCTTTGTTATTTTCAAGAGATGGACACTCCGACCTATATTGACCTGATTTTCCACATTTGTAGCATATACCTTTAGAACTTCTTTTATTGTTATCTCCTTCCTTTGAAGATGAGGATTGTCTCCTATACTTTGTGAGATTTTTGTTGGAGTGACTTACTTCATTATTTCTCATGTATATATTGTACCTTTTGCAAATAATCTCATTTCTTCTTCATCATCCGACTTTTCACTATCACTTTTCTTGTTTGTTGAGAACTTATAACAAGAAGTTTTTAGAGAAATGGACTTATTTCAACCTCTTTTTCTTTCCCTTTTTGTTTCTTCAGCTTTTTCCCATGTTTCTTCTCATATTTTTCTAAGCAAGTGAGTTCTTGCTCATGTTCTTTAAGCTTACCAAACAATGTAGTGAGGTAAAGTGTATTAAGATTGTTGGCTTTCTTGATCGCGGTGACCTTTGGTTGCCAATCCCTAGTAAGACAATTCAAAACTTTATTAGTAGCAATTTCATTGGGAACCGGTTTCCGAAGTATATTCAAACGATTAATGAGATGAGAAAATCTCTTTTTCATATCTGCAATGGTTTCACCATGCTTCATGTGAAAGAGCTCAAACTCTTGATTCAATGTATTAACTTTAGCTTATTTTACCTCATTGGTTCCATCATGGGCAACTTCCAATGTGTTCCACATAGCTCTTGTGGTTTCACAATGGAAGACACGGTAAAACTCATCCACTCTAAGGGACGACATGAGAATGTTTAGTGCCTTCCAATCATAACTCCACAATTACTTTTCATCTTTCCTCCACCTTGCTTCCGGTTTGGGTACGGTGACACCTTCAACGACCTTGGTGATTATGTTAAGACCATTTTTGATGAAATCCCATACACCCTTATTATAAGAATTGATAAGAATTCACATACAAGTCTTCCTATAACCATAGTTTTCACCGGTAAATACGGGAGATCTATTATACTCCCCTTTAGGTGTGTTTGCCTTTTTCTAAAAAGTGTATTGGAAGCACATAGAATGAACTAGACTCTGATACCACTTGTTACACGACAAAAACTTATCTAAAGGGGGTGAATAGATACCCAATTAAAAATTGAATTTTAAAATATTTTTTAAAACAAGTTAAAAACAATGGTTAGCGGAAGTCGTGTCCTAGATCGAAGTAGTTTAAACGCACTCGATTATTGGGGCTCGGATATGCATTCAATCAATTTTAGGTTAAGTAAATATGATAAGTAAGTAACACAGATAATACTCAATCAATTATTTAAACACAATCAATAGAGTAACCTATTTCCAATGAAATTAATGGTAAAACTGATTTAGACAATTTATCAAACAATTGGTGTGCACTTTTGATTTTCAGAATTTCCTTTGAATTTTGTTGAAACTAAAATCTCTTACATTCAAAGTTATTGTAATAACAACAACAAAACTATTTAAACTTTCAAATAATATTTCTAATCCAATCAATTTACACAATCAAGAGTAGACTAAATTGCTATAAAAAATAAAAGAGATAATGCAAGATAGAGAGAGAGAACAACACAAGGATTTGTTTAGGAAGTTTACCAATCATCCTCGCTATGGCCAATCTTCCCCCAATTCTGTTTTGGAATTAAGATAATTTCTTACTGGCAAAATACCCTTTTTAGTCCTTTAACTTTACCCCAAGGTCCATTTTGGTCCTTTATCTAAAAAAAGTGTCAAACTGGTCCTATAATTCTTTCAAAAGGACCACGTTTGTCCTTTCCATCCACTCCGTTAGTCATGTTTAATGGCAGCGCTTATGTGGCATTACACGTGGGTTTAGAAAAATTGCATGTGGCAATTCCACTTAAAAGTCAGTTTGACACTATTATGTGGCATTACCACTCATCCATTGCATGTTTCCTTGAAGGTGAAACCAGACTTCTCATCAGAGGTAAGTTTCTGCTTTCTGCAAGAATTCTATTTTCATAGTTAGGGTTTCCATGAAATTCTTCTCCCTTCTCTGAAATTCATCTCTCTATTTAGGGCATTGTGTGTAATGGAGGAAATTCTTATTATTACGATACACCACAGTGGTCAATTTGTTAGTGAGGACTTGAGTGTGTACGAAGGAGGTGAGATTGCTGATTTGAGAGTAGATGCTGATATGTGGGGTTATTTTGAGTTATTGGGTGCTATTAAGGAACTAGGTTACCCAGCCATAGAGAAGATATACTATAAGGATCCAACTGCTGGAATGAATCTGTTGTTTGATGACAAAGGGGCCTTAGAGATTGCTGATCTATATAGGGTTCATTTACGTGTTGAAGTCTTTATTCAACACCCATTGTCACAGCCTGAGTATGTTGATGAGAGTGAAGTTATTTTGGATGAGATACCCCTGAATGTAATGGTAGATGATGCAGTTAGACAAAATGAGGTAAGTGAGGATGCTGTTGGACAGAAGGAGGCAAGTGAAGATGTTGTTATACAGAAGGAGGCAATTGAAGATGTTGTTGGACAGAAGGAGGCAAGTGAAGATGTTGTTATACAGAATGAGGCAAGTGAAGATGATGTTGGACAGAAGGAGGCAAGTGAAAATGCTGTTGGACAGAACGATGATGATAGTTCTGATGATGATAGCTCTGATGATAGTAGCTTTTCGTATGATAGTGCAAAGGAGGTTGTATTTGATGATGAAACTGATGACTGTGATACTGACTTGGAAGAGGAAGAAGGTATGGCAGAAGTAACTGATCTCTGTGAAACTGAACCAAATAAAGAAGATAGTAAAGGAAGTGATAAAGGAAGTGATAAAGGAAGTGATAATGAAAGTGAGGATCTTGTAAGTGATTGTGATAGTGAAGATAGCAATACTACCAAGAGAAAGAAGT